CCACTGGGCCCCTCCTCCCTGGTATCATTCCCTGAGCCCCTCCCCCACACCTCAGGTATTAGCCCCCCACTGCGCTCCCCTCGGTATCATCCCCCCTCTGTAGCCCCCCAGTCCCTCTCTTCGAGTATTGTTCCCCCCCCATCCACTGTGCCCAGGCCCCAGTATCATCCTCCTGCTCTGCCCCTTCCTCCAAGTATGGGCCCAGTGCCCTGGGGGCAGGGGGCATGGCAGGAACTCCCGGCCCCTTTAAATGTTGGCAGCAAACTTCCTCCCCATTGCAGGCAGCTGCTTGGGCTCCAGCCAGTCACGTCAGCCCCTCCCTCCCGTCCTGGGGCAGAGCCCAGGCTGCTGAGTGCTGGAGCAGTGCTGCCAGGCTCCGCACGCCCCTGGCCCGCTGCACGCCTGCTCCCCCAGCGGGCGGGGACGGGAAGGAAGGGGGCAACAGCCCCTGGGAGGACAGACCTTTCCAGCGCCTGGGTGAGACCCCCTCCGGCTCTGCTGCGTGCTGGGACCGTCCCCTCCCCCTGGGGCACTGGAGACATCTGACCGCGGCACCGTGCCATCTGGGCACCCAGGCAGCGCTGGGCTGGCCCCGCTCCTCTGGCGTACACAGGGCTGTCGGCAGGTGAGGACGCTGGGGCCTGCCAGGCGGGCATGGGCGGTGCTGCCCCCTCCCACGGGCAGCTCCCTGCATGGAGGGTCTGGCCTGGCCTGGGAATGTAGCTGGGATGGAGAAGGCCAGCGCCCCCGCTGCTCCCCTCAACGCGTCTGGAAACGACAGCAGAGGGCAGCCAGGGGCGGCCCCACACTCCCCCCTGGCCTCGGCGCTCATCCTGCTGGCTGTGCTCTCCATCATCCTGGCCACGCTGCTGGGCAACGTGCTGGTGGTGGTGGCTGTCTTCACCAGCCGGGCCCTCAAGGCCCCGCAGAACCTCTTCCTGGTGTCCCTGGCTTCAGCCGACATCCTCGTGGCCACCCTCATCATCCCCTTCTCCTTGGCCAATGAGCTGCTGGGCTCCTGGGGCTTCGGCAGCCTCTGGTGCAGCCTCTACCTGGCGCTGGACGTGCTCTTCTGCACCTCCTCCATCCTGCACCTGTGTGCCATCAGCCTGGACCGCTACTGGGCCGTCACCAGGGCCACCAGGTTCAACCTCCAGAGGAGCCCCGGGAGAGTCAAGGTCACGATCGGTGCCGTGTGGGCCATCGCTGGCCTGGTCTCCGTGCCGGCCCTGTTCACGGCCCAGCCGCAGGCCAGGGAATGCCTGCTGAACAACAATACTTGGTACGTGCTGGCCTCCTGCACTGCCTCCTTCTTCGCCCCCTGCCTCATCATGCTTGCTGTGTACTGCAGGATTTATCGCATCACCAAGCACAGGTGCTCCGGCATCGTCTCTGCCAGGCCTGGCATGGCCCAGCGCCCCTCCCGCGCCAGCTCCTGCTTGCCCACTGCCACCTGGAGCTGTGCAGAGCAGGACACAGGCACAGAGCAGGGCGGCCAGTGTGCCCACAAACTGGGGTCAGCTTGTCTCTGCAGGCAGTGGCCAGAGGAGAACAACGGCGCCAGTGCCAGCCCGAGAAGGCTCAGGAGGCCTTCCTGGGCACTGGCTCGAGGCCCCCAGCGGTGGAGTGAGCAGCAGAGCATGTCCAGCTCCAGGAGACGGCTGGTGCAGGCGCGGGAGCGCAGGTTCACCTTTGTCCTGGCCGTGGTGATCAGTGCCTTTGTCCTGTGCTGGTTCCCCTTCTTCTTCACCTACAGCCTGGAGTCGCTGTGCGGGGACCGCTGCCGCATCTCCAAGCGCCTCTTCAGCTTCTTCTTCTGGATTGGCTACTGCAACAGCTGCCTCAACCCAGTCATCTACACCGTCTTCAACAGGGACTTCCGCAGAGCCTTCCGCAGGCTCCTCTCCAAGGCCCCGCGCTGCCACCGTCCTGGGCTGGACCCTGGCACTGCTCCCCCGCTAGGCCAGACCCCAGCAAGGCCCCTGCGCCACTGTCCCCTGCTGGGCTGAGATCATTTCAAACTGCTCTTGGCCTCCAGCCCCCGTGCTGGGCTATATGACACAGGAGACAAGCCTGGGTGTGGGGCTGGTGTCCTGGCCTGGGGTTTAGGAGCCCTGGGATTACGGGTTGGATGGCCCAGGCTGTGAGCAGAGGGGGGCTGGAAACTCTAGCTGCCAACTTTAGTTTACAGGTATTTTAAAAAATGCAGATTTGGGGTATTTTAATAAAAGAGACTGAATCACAGGCCAGGCCCCAGTGTCTGGCTCTTGGGCAGGGCCGGGCCCCAGCGTCTGGCTCCTGGGCCGGGCCCCTGCGTCCGGCTGCTGGGCTGGGCCGGGCCGCCACCGTCTGGCTCTTGGGCTGGGCTGGGTCCCAGCGTCCGGCTCCTGGGCCGGGCCCCTGCGTCCGGCTGCTGGGCCGGGCCGAGACGCCACCGTCTGGCTCTTGGGCTGGGCTGGGCCCCTGCGTCCGGCTGCTGGGCCGGGCTGGGATGCCACCGTCTGGCTCTTGGGCTGGGCCGGGCCCCTGCGTCCGGCTGCTGGGCTGGGCCGGGACGCCACCGTCTGGCTCTTGGGCTGGGCTGGGTCCCAGCGTCCGGCTGCTGGGCCGGGCCGGGCCGCCACCGTCTGGCTCTTGGGCTGGGCTGGGGCTCCGTTTCTGGTTCCTGGGCCAGGCTGGGCCCATGGGGGCCCCAGGCAGCAGTTGAGCATTGGCATGAGCACCCCTGAGGGAATGGTGCCCCTGCCCAGCCAGCAGAGGCAGCACTGGGAGCAGGAGCTCTCTCTGCTCTGGCATCCGGGGACACACAGGGAGAAACCTGAGTCTGAGCCCTGGCGGGGAGGGTGTGGGGGTCTCACAGTCCCAGGGTGGAGGTGTTTGGGCCCAGCCAGGCCTGGAATCAGGCAGCAGACTGGTCCTGTGCTTGGCCTAGGGGACCGATGGCCCCCATGCCACGGGTGCCCCCTCCGTCTGCCCCGAGGCCCTGTTCTCTCTGCAGCAGACTCTGCTCTGTAGAGAATGGCCGTGTGCTGGGACTCGGCCCGAGTGCCCTGCAGTGTGGGGAGGGCTCAGTGCAGGGAGGGACACGTCCAGCGGCTCGGGGAGCTCTGGCGTGTCCAGCCCCTCCGGTCTGGGGCAATTAGCTCAGCAGGTTGGAGCCAGGTCTGAGCCCGCCCTGGCCAGCCCCTCCCACAGGAGCAGGAGGGGGCCCTAGGGATTCCTGCGGGCTGTTCTAGGGGGACACAGGAACGCCCGGTCCCGGGTCCTGTCACTGACAGAGACCAGTGCCAGCTGCTGCAGACGAAGGTGCCAGACCCCTGCAGCTGGCAGGGAGGGGGAACCTGCCCACAGAGTTAGCAGCTGGCTCTTGCCCTGGAGCCGGAGGGCTATAGCCCTTCTGTTTTTACTCTCTAATGTTAATGGCTGTTCTCACTGGCCAGGGCAACAGCTGAGCCTGCCCTGAAGCCTAGTTGTCTCTTGGCCCCAATGCTCTCTTGTGGCAGGGAGTTCCACAGGCTAATGGTGTGTGGTATAAACCGTGCTGCCCCCAGGCGGGAACAAGGCCCCAAGAGCTGTTCCCTGCCCATCTCATGGGCTTGGACAGAGCTTAGCCCAAATAATCCAGCTGCCCAGAGGCAGGGTTACCCCACATCCGGGCTCCCGGACACTGCCCCTTTTCTGAGCCTCTTTTCTCTGGCTGGCGGGTTCGTCAAATAACGGGCAATGTCCGGGCTTTCTACAGAGCAGAGCGCCGATTGGTCCCACCTCTGCCTCTGTGTCTGATTGGTCCATTCCCCTGCCACTGCAGCTGCCAGCTCCTGCCCACCCAGGCCCCGCTCGCAGCCCTGGGGAGAGGGGTCCCCGCAAGGAGGCGCTGACTGACAGCTGGTGCTGCATCCTGGGCTTGCACCAGCCACCGTGACAGGGAGTGACACTGGCCCCCGTCTCCAGCGAGTAACCCCACCACCGAGCCCCCCCAGCTCCCCCCCTCCCCAAGGCAGTGTTCTCTTTTTGGGAATCCGAAATACGGGAACCCCACGGCCCAGCTTGCTGTGCTGCAGCCTCTCTGCAGGAGTTCAGAGCTGAGAGTGGGGGGCTGAGATGGGGGGCACAGGAGCTGGTGGGGCAGAAGGGGGGCGGCAGGAGAAATCCCTCAGGCCTGGGGGGGCCAGGGGCAGCAGCTCGCAGATACATGGCCCTGTGTTTGGTGTTGGGTCCAGCTCAGCCAGTCCCACCCAGCAATTTTTAGGCTCTGGACAGAGAACAGGGCCTGGAACGGGGCCCACACCACAAATGCCTCCAGAGAGGGAGCTGAGCTGGGGTGACAGCGCCACTGCTGGGGCCTGTAGAACAACAAAGCACATGGGGCTCTCCTGAGACCCTAAATAGCGGCATGGGGCTGGGACACCCCCATCTCTGAGCAGCAGAAGGCCAGGTGACTCCCCTCCCCAGCCCCCAAGTGGATAGGGGCCAGCCACTCTGGCTCCATGGCTCGCCCGCCTGGGCTGTTTCCCATAGCTCAGCAGGGTAGCTTCCTGGGGAGTTCTGCTTCCCCAAAGTGTGTGTGGGGAGGGGAGGGGAGGGGAGGGGGGCAGATAACCATGCCCCCAAGTCCCCTCTCTGGAGGGATTCTGGCAATAGCTGAAACCTGTGTTCTGTAAACATCCCAAAGGGAAAGTCTCTGAGCAGGTGCCAGTGCCCGAGGCAGCAGGGGTAGGGTGCAGGGTGGGGTCAGCCCAGGCAGGCCAGGGGAGCGGGGCCAAGGGCTGTGACTGCTGGGGGCAGCATGTGACAGTGCAAGGTTTGCTCAGGAGATTGCTCTGTAGGACTTCCCTGCCCCCACCTCCCACATGCCAAGCCCCATTTCCTACCCCCGGGTCTGAACTGGGCCAGGACTGGGTCTGCACTAAAGCTACACTGTGCAGGCCAGGGCTGAACCCATGGCTGGGATTGAAGCTGGGCTGGGTCAGTTGGGGGCTGGGCTGCGATTGGGGCCGAGCCGGGCAGGTTGGGGGCTGGGCCGGGCCAGTTGGGGGCTGGGCTGGTTGGGGGCTGGTCTGTGATCTGGGCTGGACCGGGCAGGTAGGGCTGGGCTGCGATTGGGGCCAGGCCGGGCCAGTTGGGGGCTGGGCTGCGATCGGGGCCAGGCCAGGCAGGTTGGGGGCTGGGCTGCCATCGGGGCCAGGCCAGGCAGGTTGGGGGCTGGGCTGCCATCGGGGCCAGGCCAGGCCAGGCCAGGCCAGTTGGGGGCTGGGCTGCCATGGGGGCTGGGCCGGGCCGCTCAGCTTAGACATGCAGGGGTCAGTCACCATCCAGCTTCTTCTGCTTCGTGCCTCAAAATAGAAAATCCCCGAGCATCAAACCTTCCCCTGGCTAAAAACAGCTGCAGGCGCCTGAGAGTTTGGATCCCATGGAGCCAGGCCCAGCTCCAAGCTCCCGGCCGCTCCGGCTCCCAGGCTCTGTGGTGCGGCAGGGTGGGCTCGGCGCCAGGGAACAATCCCTCGTCCCATGGGGAGCAGGATCAGCTTCCTCCACAGCCTCCAGCGTCCCCCCAAGCTGCCCTCCTGGCCAGGTGCAGCCAGCCCCACAGCAGCCGGGGGGTGGTGCTGGGTGGGGCACAGAACCACCCCAAGGGCACAGGGCTGGGCCAGAGACCTCCCAGGCTGGACGAGCGTGGAGGGGCCAAGTCTCGATCCTGGCTGGAGCTTGGGGAACTTTGCACCCGCGTGCCCAGCTCCTCCCCCTTCCGCTCCCCGAGAGCATCCTGCCCCGATGGACCCGGCAGCCCCCCCAGTGTGAAGACCAAGCATCCGTTGGTCCCGCAACCCCTGCTGCTCTGGAAGGGCAGGGGTGGCTCCCTCAGGCTGCTCAGTCCCTCCCTGAGCTCCAGCTCCCAGCATGAGCTGCTCCAGGGCCCGGGCCCTGAGCAGGGAGCGAGTCGTCACCAGGCTCTGGCACCGGGGCAGCTGATGGGATGCTCCCCCAGAGACGCAGAGGCGAAGCGAGGGTGTGACAGGCCCCAGGCGGGGGGTTTATTGGGTGGGCATGGGGGGCAGATCCTGCTCTGGGCCCCACTAGCCCGTGTGGCCCTGTATCCAGTCAAGGTAGCGGGCCACGTTGGTGTAGACGCCGGGCTTGTCCTGCTCTCCGCATCCCACGCCCCAGCTGACGATCCCGCGCAGCGTGGCCCGGCCCTGCTCCTCACACACCAACGGCCCACCAGAGTCTCCCTGTAGCACGAGGGGACTGGTCAGAGGAGGCAGGCCCCGCTCCGTCCCTCAGAGCAGCTGGCAGGCCTGGTGCTGGCCCCTCCCCATGGGCACCGTGGCATTGGGGAACCCTGCAGTGCAGTCGAAGGGGGCTAATGGCACTGGGGGCGGGGGCAGCGGACGGGAGCCACCGATGGCACTGGGGGTGGGCGCGGCGGACGGGAGCCCCTGCTGGCTTTAGGGTGGGAACAACAGGGAGAGAGAGGACACATCAGTGCCCTTGAGAAATCAGCCCGTCTCTCCCCTTTGGGGCGGATTCCCCAGGGATGAGCCAGCACCAGCCACTGGCAGGGAGCCGGAGAGCAAGGCCCGCTTGTGTGAATCAGGTGCTGGGGGTGGTCTGGCTCATGGGGTGCCCAGGGTAGCGTGGCAAAGCGGGGTCTCAGCTCACAAAGGGGCTGCTGGAGAGGCTGTCCCTTCCTGAACTGCAGCCAGATTGGAGCTGACCCGCCCCCGGCACCTCTTGCCCAGCTGTCTCACCTGGCAGGCGTCGGTGCCCCCCTCCAGGTAGCCGGCACACAGCATGTCTGCGGTGATCCTGGCCCCGTGCAGCTCGGGGGAACGGCACTGCTCGTGAGGGATAACGGGGAGCACAGCTTCCTGCAGGGACTCAGAGAGCTCCTCAGCCCCTGCCCGGGAGAAGAGAGGGGACCTTGCTGTGCCACGCAGCCCGGGCCCAGACACCTGGCACAGGGACACCCCAGCTGGTGCCAGGGATGCGCCCGGCCCCTCTTGGGCTG